GGAATGAAACAAGAAAAGGCTCTTCCCCCTTCCCAGCAGCAGTGCAGTGCCAGTATTACCTCATCAGGGCATTTCAGATTGTTACTGAAGGTGAAGTTATGGAAAAGTAGCCCACTTGGTGCCTCTGTCTTAAATGTATTAACCTGCTTGCTCAAAGTCTTCAAGAGTGAAGTGATCAGATTGATTTATCTATAGATCAAAAAAAAAAAAAAACATCAGAGAAATTATTGTGTTTATTTTTACTTTCTAGTCTAAACATTCATTTTCTTAAGTAGGTAATACATTCACTGTTCAAAGGATTCAGTGTGAAAGTATCCTTCCTACCTCTTCCCTAGGTATCCAGTTACCTTCCTTTGAAGCAGCTAGCCCTTGGGATGGCTAGTTTCTTGTGTTCCCTCCTGAGTTAGTCTATGCATCAATGTCTGATTTTCATGTTTTGACTGATAAAATGCATTAAAGGTATTAAATTCATTATTCTTCACGTGAATTTTAGAATTGAATGTCGAGGGCTTTCTTGGACAGTGTACCCAATACTATACAAATACACATATTAATACATGTGTTTTCACCTCCAGTTAATTATGACAATTTGTACTTGAGGCTAGTGTGCCAGGGTAGTGGAAATTTAATCTCCTCACCTACTTACCTTTTATTATCATCCTTTTTTTAAAAAATTAAATACCTGAAAATAGAACAGGCACATGATATTTGCTTGCTACATTTTTTTTATGGAAAAGAGCAGGCTTAGAAATGTGTATAGGAGCTGTGACTTGAAGCCATCTTTGGGTTCTAGTGACACCCTTGCTGTTAACTCCTTTAAGATGACAGTATATTACTTGAGATGTGACTAATGTAAGATGATGCAATACTGAGAGTTAGGAGACATGATCATTATCTGCATTGGGCAAGTCATTTGGCCTCTCTGGAACTTGAATACTTTACAATAATCTGACATAGATTTCTTTCTAAGGCTTTCAGATTCTCTACTGGAAAAGAAAAAAATTTTTCCTGAGCTGTTTGTTTCAGCCTTATAGAATATTGCTAGAACACATAATTTACAGACAGGCGCAGCCCCCTCTCAGTGGTCTAAAAATGCTTAATCTCTTTTTGACATGTTTCCTTTACTATAGCATGATTTGCAAGAAGACTTTGGGTTTGACTGTCACTCCAATATAACTTGTTCACATTTGATGAGGGAGACTCACCCCAGGCAGCTGTTGATAAAATCGGACATGACCCATTGATCTGTGACATCGATTCCCAGAGCAATCAATCGACTAGAAGAAATGCACCCAAACTCAAATCACTGTAGTTATTCACAAAGGAAAAAGAAAAATTCTCATTTGTTTCACTTTTAATTTCCAAATGTGATGCACCAGGAGGGGCTCCAGCATGATGTCAACTAGAAAAAAGTATTACAAGAGTATAGCAAAGCGCCAAAGGACATTTTGACCTCAAGAGAGGACTAGGTTAGATTCCATTGATCAAAATTACTGTGCTCATTCTGGATTGGGCCCCACAGCCAGCTGATCAGAGCCTTTATATCTGCAACCAGCAGCAGTTGTTCCACTAATTAGCCACCCATGATCCAACTTTAAGGTTCTTTGAGCCCAGTCATTATTTGCTCGTCCACCTATAAGGTAAGTGAAAAAGATGGGGATTTTCTTGTTTATGAGAAATATAAGAAATCCCTGTGAGGATAGAAAAATAAGATCTGAAATAAAATTCAGGAAAGATGCACCAGCTTTTTACATAGGAGATGCTGAATTAGTATTCAATAATAAAAGAAAATTCAAGACTGTTTCTGGGACCTATAGTCATTTAATGGTAAAAAGTAGTTATTTTTAGGAAACAGGGATTTTCTTTTAAAAGATCTCATTCTTGCATGCAAGTATGTGTATGATTGTATTTCTGTTTTTCATGTTGGCCTAGTTTTATTTGCTATTTAAAAGTAATAATTTCTAACTTTTAAGTAGATAGTAGCATTGAACAGTTTAGGACTGTCAAGTAGAGAATAAGTTAATGATATGAGTTAGCTTTCTCATCTCAGGGTTTTTATGTAAAACAAGCTCTAGATTTTTTTAAGTGCAAAAGGTGGGATTTTTTAATGAAGAATAATGGCCAGAAATTTTTAAATGAATGAATATGGGAGAGGACCTAAACTTTTAAAGAGAGGCTAGAACTTAGTAAATTATTACTTCAGTTAATGAGGTATAAGTCCAAAATTTTTAAGTCAAAATTTTATTTGCAAGTACTATACATGATTACATTCTTAATGTTTTAATTTTAAACAATTCACAAGTATGTAGAGTAAAATGTAAGTCTCATTAATACCCCATTAAAATTCTAGGAGTATCTACTACTTTTTAAATTTTACTTAAAAAATTGTTTATAAATATGTATACATATACAGGTAGAAATTTACGTAAGTCATGCTTCCTTAGAAAAAGTCTTTTTTCCATTTCCTTTATCTTTTTTCCTCTCTCCTCCCCCTCCAAACTCCTTCTCCATCCTCATTACCTCCTACAGACTCCAGTAACCTATATTAATTTCCTGATGTTTGTCTTTCTGCTCTTTTTCCTTCATGCTCATATAGTCACATACATACACATCTCATATACATATGCATACATATTATAGAATTTTATTTTAATCTCACGCTGAATCTTGGATCAATTGATTTGGGGAGAATTGGCATCTTTACAAATAGCACTGAATTTTTGAATCCCTGAGCGTGGTGTATCCCACCATTAATTTATTTAAATAGTGGTATGTGTATGTGTATTTGTCATTGTCAACTGTTCTCTCCTTGAAACTGTCTTGCTTTGGTTTCAGTGATACCACCCTCATGTTTTCCTCCTTGCTCTCTTTGACCATTTCTCATTTTCATTTGTAGAATTTTTTTCCTGTGCTATTTCTCAGGTTTCTCTCATTGGCTCACTTTTCCTTCTTGTCCCTGAGTGATCTCATCTACCTATTCAATGATTATTCACAAATGATTAAATGTTTATCTCTAGATTGTACCTTTTCGGTGGTTGTTCTCTAAATGCAAATGCTTTCCGGACATCTCCACTTTTGCCATTTAGTTTTGTTGGGTAAAATCTATGTATTTTTTCCAATTATAATCTCTGGCATTGATGTGCTTACAAAGCCTTCTACTTCAAGATTATAAAACATATGCATTTTATTTTAATACTTTTATGGTTTATTTTTTTCCATTTAATACTTTATTCCTTCTGGAATTTATTTTTGTTTGGAGATAAATAAGAAAATATAATAATTCTATGTTTTTTTCTCTTGTATTTTTGAGTTGATATTCATTTGTTCTTTTTCATTATTTGTCTATTTTATGTTAGCAGGAGTACTTAGTGGCTACTGTGAGCACTGGACCAGGTATATCCTGTTCATTGTTGAATTCCCTGGCATCAAGCACAATGCCTAGGCAATAGTAAGATTTTAGTAAATATTATTGAATGAATGAATTATGGAAAGAGAATTGTTTTATTATCTGTTTTAATTTAATAATACTTTCCTATTTTTCCTCCATATCTTTTGTATCAGGAAGTCTTCCATATCTTAGAAGCTTTTAGCCTACCAAGTATTTTAACCTCACTGAACCTTGAAAACCATTAATTTTTTCAGGGTAAACCAACTAACCTATTCATGTCAGCTATGCCTCAATTCTTTTCTAGATTACAAGCTTGCTAGAGAAGCAATTCATATTCAGTTTAATTCTAAGTTAGCAGACCTTCCATGAAAACACGATGTTACAGATGTGGCTTTGTGGATATAATCATATGTCTTATTGCTGGTACTGATTCGGTATCTGCTTAATCTTTACTGCTACCCTGTGCCAGTTTCTGAAGGTTTATTTGGTTGATTTCTGTTTTCTTTACTTGTACTTTCTGTCTTTCAGTGGGAGTTATGGATAATGTATATATGTAAGTATTATATATGGTATATATAAAATATAACTATATATACATAAACATATATAATGAGGATCTTTGCTTTTCTGCTGATGATTATTCCAGTAATAGGGTCAAAGAACCAAGTTTCAAAATGAAAAGACAATTCAATCCTCTATTATTTGTTGATACCTTCTGTATGCAAAGACAGAAATGCTATGGAAAGTGTCTCTGCAAAGGGTGTACATTTCCAGGAAGGTGGGGGGACATAAGACACAACCATCACAAAACTCATTTTAGGCACAGTGCAAAATGACCGGTATAAACAATCAATGGGAATTCTGGAATAGGAAAAAACATTCTGACTTGGGATGGCTAGGGAAAACTTCCTGGAGGAATTGAGACTTATTTATGATCATGTAGGATGTATGGTAAATGCGGTATCTCAGATGGGTAGAAAAATAAGCAAAATTGTGGAATGGACAGCATTGTACAAATATGAGGGCCAATGGATCAGATTGTGGAGGGTCTTTAGTGTTTTTTCAAAAGCTGATATTCCTTGGAACCATTTTATTTTATCAAGCATGGAACATAAATATTAGGGCTGGAAAATCTTTCATAGTTTTACTGACATGAAAAAGAACCCACCATATCAATGAACCTGTGTCTTTATATATTACATCCATGCATGCTATTAACCTCAATGTTCTCTTTATATTTCAGACATTAGTCTCCTACCATGGGGGATTGGAACTTATTGGGCGGCATCTTAGAGGAAGTTCACTCCCACTCAACCATAGTGGGGAAAATCTGGCTGACAATCCTCTTCATTTTCCGAATGCTGGTACTTGGTGCAGCTGCCGAAGATGTCTGGTATGATGAACAATCAGCGTTTGCCTGCAACACCCAACAGCCAGGTTGCAACAATATCTGTTATGATGATGCTTTCCCTATCTCTTTAATCAGGTTTTGGGTTTTACAGATCATCTTTGTGTCTTCTCCCTCTCTGGTGTATATGGGCCATGCCCTTTATAGACTCAGAGCCTTTGAAAAGGAGAGGCAGAAGAAAAAGTCGCACCTTAAAGATCACAGAGAGAAGCCAGGGCTTGAATTGGAGGAGCAACAAAGGATAGATAGAGAACTGAGCGGGTTAGAGGAGCAGAAGAGGATCCATAAAGTCCCTTTGAAAGGATGTCTGCTGCGTACTTACGTCTTACATATCTTGACAAGGTCTGTGCTGGAAGTAGGGTTTATAATAGGCCAATATATTCTCTATGGGTTTCGAATGCACCCCTTCTACAAGTGCACTCAACCTCCATGCCCCAATGCAGTGGATTGCTTTGTATCCAGGCCCACAGAGAAGACCATTTTCATGCTCTTTATGCACAGCATTGCAGCTGTTTCTTTGTTCCTTAATGTACTAGAAATATTTCATCTAGGAATTAGGAAAATCATGAGGGCACTCTATGAAAATCCCAGCAAGGAGGGCATTGAGGATGAAAGGGGCCCTCCATTCCATTTCAAAAAATATTCAGTGGTCCAGCAGTGTATGATTTGCTCCCCCTTGCTTGAAAGAACCCCTGTGCTTCAAGCCAACAGTCAACAGCAAATTATTCTAGTAAATGTGCCAAAGTCTAAAACCTCGTGGCAAATCCCGCAGCCCAGGCAACTTGAGGTAGACCCTTGCTGTAGTAGAAAAGACTGGACTGGGGAGGATCAGCACAGCGGACAGCTCCATGTTCATAGCCCATGTCCCCAGCATGGCTGTGCTAAAATTCAGCACTCGGGACAGCACCCAGACCTTTCCTCCTTTGGCCTACAAAATACAATGTCCCAGTCCTGGCTAGGTGAAACAACGGCTCCCAGGCACTGTCCATCCTATGCAATAGGAACCTGGGAGCAGTCCTATGACCTGCAACCCTCAGAGGAGCCGCTCACGGATTTTCACAATCACTGCAGAGACAGCAATGGCAGCATGAGAGAGAGTGGGGTCTGGACAGACAGATCTTGCTCGGGCAGTCGCAAGGCCAGCTTTCTATCCAGATTGCTGTCTGAAAAGGGACAGCTGCGCAGTGACTCAGGAAGCTCCCATTCTCAAGGTAGCTCTAGCTTGGACATTCTGCACCAGGAAAACAGCCCCACACTTCTGCCTTCAGCTACTGGGCACAGAACATCCATGGTAAGTAAAGACAGACTGACCATGGAACTATCACAAGAGGCGTTCCACTCTGGCCACTTCTTAGCCTTCCCTTTCCTCCTTCTTGGTGTGTATATATCTGCATTGAGAGAGGGAGAGAAGGAGAGGGAGGTTAACTTGTGGAGAGTTAAATTAATTCATTGAATACATTCAGTTAAATTTAACTTATAAGATAAACTTATTGAAAACTTACTTTATATCAATCTGTCTTGTAAGTGCTGGGTATATAAATGGTTGAAATACCATCTTTGCCATCAAAGGGCTCAGAATCTAGATGGGACAGTTAGACAGGTAAACATGTAAATATGATCAAGGATAAGGTGCCATGTTAGAGGTGGTGGGTGGGCAAAGGAAGGAGTGGTTACTTGTTTATGGATGGGTCAGGAAAAGTTTCATAGTTTTTTTTAAATTTTCAATTACAGTTGACATTTAATATTATAGTAGTTTTAGGTGCACAGTATAGTGATCAGACATTTATAAAACTCATGAAATGATCCTCCCCAATAAGTGTAGTACCTACCTGACACCATACATAGTTATTATAATATTATCAACTATATTCCCTGTGCTGTACTTCACATCCTTGTGACTGTTCAGTAATTGCCAATTTGTATTTCTTAATCCCTTCACCTTTTTCACCCAGCCTCCCAACCCCCTCCCATCTGGCAACCATCATTTGTTCTCTGCGTCTATGAGTTTGTTTCTATTTGTTTGCTTGGTTTTTTAGATTCTACATAAAAGTGAAATCATATGGTATTTGTCTTTCTCTGTCTGACGTATTTAACTTAGCATAACACCCTCTATGTCCATGTTGTTGTAAATGATAAAATTTCATTCTTTTCTATGGCTGAGTAATATTCCATTGGATATATGTACCACATCTTCTAAAAGCTTCATAATTGAAGTGACTATTGAACTGATTCTTTGAAGATGTGCTGTATTTTCCAGACCTGGGAGGAGTGGGGTAAATGGAAGAAGGCCGTCCCACTAGAGGGAGCACTGCAGACAAAGGCCGAGAGGTGTGACACAGCGGGGCTATCTGGCGAGCTATGTATGGCTGAAACACAGGGTAGTAGGAAGGCTGTGGAGAGAGGGAAGTCTCGAGAAGGGAGCATGGAGGTCTTGAAGAGAGGTGATGGAAAACTCAGAGACAATGTATAGCAGAGGGGTGATTAGATTGGAATTGTACTTAAGAAAGCTCTTTCTGTCACAGTGTGGCAAATAGATCAGAGGAAGGATTATTTGTAACCTTGAGTTGCCCTTGTCTCACTAGGGAAAGTTTTTCTCTATTGTTTTAATAGCTCTGGCATTTAAAAGTCATATACAAATATTTGGGGATATATTTCACAAAGACTAAAATCAATATTCTATTGATTTTAATTCTATTCTCTGAAAAGCCACTGTAGAATAACATTCCCTGGTCATTGTAAGACATAAAGGATATTTATTGTAGATTTTTCTCAGTTCTTGGGAAAAAAAAAAAGAAGGACACTTACTTTACCCACTGCTCCTAACAGCTTTTTCCTTTGTTTCATTCTTCGTGTTAATAATGATCGAATCCCTCTTCCCCAGTTTCATATCTCCTATGCGTTTGGAGATATTTTGTTACTGCACTAAAGCCATACCTTGAGTAGGAATCATTCTACCTAGCTTTTTCCTAACATGCTTCTCTCAGACTGATACTCATTTCTTGTCAGTGACTAGCTGTCTACAAGGAGACTATGTTTAGGATCAATGTGTGGGTGCTTAGGACCCTATGCCAGACCACAGCAGGATTCTCAACTCCGGCTAGTTAGAGTCATCTGGGAGCTTTAAAAAAATCTTCATGCTCAGGACTCATCCAATTCCATTTAAACCAGAATCTCTGGGGGTGAGATGCAGGATCATTATTTTTAAAACCCCCATGGTGATTGTAATGTGCAGTCGGGGTTGAAAACCACTGTTTTACAGTAACCTTGCCAGGGGCTCCTGCTTCCTAGCTGCATTTAGGAAGTCAGTTAAGAAGTTTTCACATGCTCTCTTTCTTGTACCTCCTTCCATGTGAGAGGAGCCTTTGTTTTGACAGAGAATTGAGAAAGAGAGCAATGTTTAGTTGAGGCAGATTTTCTTAATCCTTCAGATTATCTTTTGGGAGAGGTCAGCCATGCTCAGGAGCCTGGAGAGAAGATGAAGGTGATAGGCCCTTTCTATTTTCATCTTCTTTCTTCCCTGTTTTTTATGTTTCTAGGAATTATAAATAATGCCTTTGGCCATAAAGCTTATGGTTACTTTTTTCCAAGACTCTTACAGAGTTGACAGGGCACTTCACTCCCTGAATCTTGGGAAGACTCTGGGATTAGGTTATAGCGTCAACTCCAGAGCACTATGGCTGACGCATATGGCTTCTTGCAAACAGAGGGATCTTTCTTTATAAATTAGTGCAGTGAACAGAGGATTATGATCTTCCATTTTCAATATACAGACTGTAAACAACTTTTTACACTGTATTAGGTCCTAGGTGGCAGTATTTTTAGGGCTTAGTTAGACTTCCCAGCCTCCAGAACTGTGAGAAATAAGCCTCAGTTCCTTATAATCCACCTGGTCTATAAAATTTTGTTATAGCAGCCCAAGTGGACTAAGACGAGGGAGAAGAGTGCAATCAGGGTCCAAGTAAGACAAGGGGGAAGCTTGCACAGTGGTCCAGGTGAGAGAGGAGCATGGCTTAGAGCAGGGGTACTACTGTCAATGATATGGAAGATCATTTTTTTTTCATTGTTTTTCAAATTCAGATAATATATGCACACTGAGAGAAATTCAAGCAATATAAATGAACACTGAGTAAAATGTGAACCTGACCATGTGAGGGTTCATCTCTTCTCATTCTTACCTGGACTCGATTCCTACCTCTCTCCCCAAAGGCAACTGCTGTGAACAGCATGGGGTGTGTTCTCCCTGCCTTCCTCAGTGCATTCATAATCTGTCTTTGAGGATGAATATATGTTCACACATATCTGTAATTTGTTTTTTAAAATGTAAATGTGATCATACTATAGAGATGTCTCTGCAATTTGCTTTGCTCATTTAATGGTATATCTAAGGGATCTTTCTACATCAGCACCTATGGAACTGCCTCAGTTTTATATTAACTCATGTTTTTCCATAGTATGGATGAACCATAGGAGACTCGACAGCCATTTAGCCATTCTAACTTTTTTTCCTACTGCAAACAGTTTCAGTGAAAGTTCCATATGTTTATCTTTGATAGGCGCCTTGAAGTGGAGTTATTGGTTGTAATGGGCGTGCACATTTTACATTGTGATAGATGCCAATTTTTGCTGAGGAAGGACTATACCAATTTGTCCTTTCACTTCTCAGCACATAAGCACCTCTTTCTCCACACTCTTGCCAATATCAGACAATATCTCCCCAGCCCCACCAATCTGATGAACTAAATTTACTTCCTTTTGTTTTAATATACATTTCCGTGATTACGAGCATGTTTGTTCATATGTTTATTGGCCATCTGTATTTCTACCATGAATCATCCTTGTCTGTTTTTCTGCTGGAATATTTGTCTTCTGATTTCTAGGAGCTCTTATATGGTAAAATAGTAACTCCTTGTCTATACACATAGTGAAAGATTTTCCCCCAATCGTCTTTCCTCTTATCTGTGTTCATGGCATCTTAAAAAATTTAATATTAGATTAAGTCTAAAATCTCTGTTACTTCTAGTTTCTTTGTCTCATCTGGGAAGGTCATTTTTGACTCAACATTGTTAACAAGGGTTGTTAGATGGGTGTTTATTTGGAGGATGGATTTTTATAATTTATTGAACCCTTTGGCTCAGAAATTTTAAATAACATCAATTATCAAAGACTCTGAAGAAGAAGCAAAAAGAAAAACCCTATATCTAGGGCCTGACTATGGTCCTGACACTGCCATGGACTTCCTTACTGAAACCCTGTGATTATACTCATTTTGTGGATAAGGAAACAGATGACTTGTCCAAAGTCACAAAGTCAGGATGCAGTGAAGCACAGTCTTTGGGACATAGCAGATAAAAATTAATATTTATTGGATGAGTGAACGAGCTGTTTGATTCAAGTCTGTCTGATTCAAACCAAGCTCCTTCTCCTATACCCCATTGCTGCTTCTTGCTCTCCCTGCACAAGGCAGCTAAGTTTAGCATATTTTTAGGATCAAAGGTAGTTCATTATAAAATGGAACATTCCACATTTGGATCAGTTTTTCCTTCTCCATTATACAATGTCAAAAATCTGTCTAATTGTAGAGGGAGCAAAGATTGCCTTAGGAAAAGGTTGGCTTTTTAGTTTGAGGCCTGGATTTTGGACAAAACAACAGCTGGAGAAGTTGAAGGTGATGGCAGGTGGGATTCAGCTATTTCACAGTAACTTTGTCAGGCAACAGAATCTCTTAAAGGGGCGCTCGTCTCTGGAGCAACGTAGGGCAAATTGTCTTCCACATCACGTTTTGATTCAAACTTTGGTATTTGTGACATACATAGAGTCCCAGGTGGGTGGGCAGGACTGACTTTTACAAGCCATTTTGTTTTATTTCCCGTCTCTTTCAGAGCATGCTTCTAGAACTTTCATCTATTATGAAAAAATAATGCATGTCTGGGGCCAGAAAAAAGAACACAGGAGCAGTGGCATCTACAGGAGAAAAGTTGTACCTTGTCAGCTCAAACTGCAGGAAGAACTGCGGGAGCCATCCCCTCCACAGAGACACTTGCCAGGCAATGAGTGTGTATAGGGTGCTCCCAGCTGGGCTCGCCCAACACGGTAGGCCCTTCCCTGATGGGATAGGGTCACCCTCTCACTCCACCTGGCCTCACTGGCTGAGGCAGCTCTGAGGCTCAAGCAGGGATCAGGCGGGGACAAAGTGGGCGCCACCGGAAAAAATCTAAGGGTAAGAGCTGCTTTGGATTGGGATTTGGCTACCCTTCCCCCACCTTGCAGCCCAGTGAGACGTATGGCCAAGAGAGCACCTCGTTCTGCAGTGGTGGCAGCAGCAGTTTGAACCCTCGAACATGGGTCCAGGGCAGGGCGGGAGCTTCCTGTTTGTAAAGAAGATGTTGATGAGAAACTTTTTGTTCTTTTCCTCACATCAGTTCATGTCTTGGGGATGAACCAGCTGGATTTTTGTTCATAAATGCCATGACATAAAATATTGATTACAATACTGGCAAACACTCAAGGTGCATGATTTTATTTTATCCTTCTGTTGGGATCATGCAGGGTTAGTAGCGTTGCCATGACTGTGGTCCAACAGGTGCCTGGCGAGATCTCATTCAGGACTTCCAGGGGAGTGACTGAAGCAGGCACCTCTTCCTCAGCCTCCCTGTCCTCCCAGTGGTCCTGAGCCATCAGGAAAGGTGTGTCAAAAAGCACTTTATGCTTCTTTTAGAGCACAGAGACACAGACGGCTATGTGATATACACTAATTAGCCAGTCTGTGAGGCTGGTTAGCTGGTTGTTACTTTCTGAGTTTTGAGAGCCATAAAGGTGGACTCAATTCTCATGGAAGAACCACTTAGCTTCTCCATCCTCCATCCTATGGCCGGACTGTCTCCTAACCCTGGCCCACACCTTGTAATAAAGGTTTCAAGTTATTAGGAGACTCAATTTGGTCCAGTGTCACAAAGCTCTGCATCATCTGTGTCCTGTGAGATAAAATCCAAACTCCTTAGCCTGGCACACAAAGCCTTCATGTGTTGGCTCCCATCTCTGACCTTGTTCCCTACCTCTGACCTTGTTCCCCAACTCTGACCTTATTCCCTACCTCATGCGCCTTAACAGCTGCTTGCAGCCTTCTCTCCTTCCTGTCCTTGCCCACAGAGCAGCGGGCAGCTGGACACCTTCCGCCCCACTGCAAGCCTGCCTTTTGGGGACTCATTTCTTATGGAGGGAGTTCCAGCATCTCTTTCTAAGCCAACCCTCCACTCCATTCCATTTTTCCTATCATCCCTGTAATTGTAGCAACAAGTACTATTTTTTTTTTGATAAATAATTTTCATTTTTTGAAAAAAGAGGTGCATACTAGATGCAACTTATTTCTAGGAAGCACCTTCTGGCCATCTGAGGTGAGCTCCTCTGAGCTGGAAAAGCCTCTTGCCCTTGGCTTAAGACTTCCATCATCGTCTCTATAGTTCTCTGAACATTACTACCAGCTTTTCTGGGTCTCCAGCTTATAAAAGGTAGATTGTGGGATTTCTCAGTCTCCATAATTGTGTGAATCATTCCTTATAATTACTTATATATGTATATGTATATGTATAATGTATATGTATGTATGTGTGTGTGTGTGTATACGTATACACATACACACACACACATACATCTCCTATTCATTCTGTCTCTCTGGAGAAACCTAATGCACTGGGTAACTGCCTGGGATGTTGCAGAAGGGCATTAGATGGCACTGGTCTGTGCTTCTAGCCTAAATGGCTCCTGAGTCAATTTGCAGAGGTAGAAATGAGGTGTGGAGATGTGAAGAGGTGTGGTCTGTTCCACAGAGAGTTGGTAGAAGAGCCAGTGGAGACCATGTGAATGAAAATGACACTGGGGCCAAGCCCAAATGGGTTTTTTTAAGGGCCATTTTTAAGGGGCATACCATATTCCAGGTGCTTAAGACACATTATCTATACCTTGTCTAACTGTGTAAAGTTATTGTTTATTCTCATTTTATAGATCAGAGAAGGCTCAAAGAGATTAAGTAACTTGCCTCATAGCCAAAGATCACACAGCTGAAATGCCTGCTGTGCAGCTGGAATTCAAACTCAGATCTAGCTGCTCCAAGGCCCACGCTCCTTCCAGGAAGATCTGCTGTCTCTCTCGTCCATAACAGTTAGCAGCCCCTGAGCAATAATTTATTCGTACACTCGTCTGCCTGACTGGCTTATGAAAGCTTTAAAGATAAGGTCTGTGCATTTTAAATCTTACCCAGCATGTAGCAGTGTTGGTTGAATGAATGTATGTTTATGTATAGAGGCCAAAGACAGTACATTACCCATCACTTCCAATTCTCCAGTCTATTACCTTATTCACTGGTGTTCTGGCATGTCTTGCCAATAGGTTTATTGCGAGAGACTCTTCCAGGAGCCTTTATAGAAGTGTTAAAATTTTTTTTTATAATTTAATCTTTACTTACTCTCAAAAAACTTTACAGGTCATCAACTGCCCAGCACAGAGGTTAATAAAAAAGTTAAATGGACCCATTGTAAAATGTAATGCTTCCAGTAAATGTTGGTATGTCTCAGTGTTTCCATCCATTGCTTTAGGATGAAGGTCACTGCCTCAGGGGTGCACTTCCATGGAGTAATAGCTGTCCATGGAGAACCAGTGATGCCTCTTTCTGATTGACCAAGCAGGCCAGTGGCAGATGTATGTTGGGATCTGTAGGAGCCAGGGGTGGGGACAGAAGGTATCATGCTCTTGAGTCAAATGAAAGGAAAGACACTTGCCTAATGGGATGTAGGGTATGCAGTTTGCTCCATCTCTCTTGGCTTTGATTTTTAGATACCAGGAAGTATCATGTTCCTTTGTACAGAGGGGCAAAGGTACCCAATGGGGAGAATTGGAAACATCCCACTCTAGGTACTGTTACAAATTGGTATTAAACATCAAGTATAATCTTGCGAATGCACCCTCATTGTGGGGACAGGGTAGTGGGTTGGAGAAGACAATACCTCAGTTATTTCCAAATACATAGAACAGACTGCTGGCAGGGACTGGTGTACAGGTAGCCAATGTGAGAATCCTTGTGCCCTAGCCCTAGAAGTAGATACGAATCACTCCGAAGGTACACAAAGTTGGAAAGGAAATGGTTGCTTCTGATTTGGGGCTGGATGGTGTTTGCATGCTTCCCTTCCACGAGATATAAGTAAGAGCTTTATTCTGTATCCGGCCACAACTGCCATTCCTGCCACAGGCACAAAAGTCAGGGTAGAGAGTGCAAATGACCATCAGTTCTAAATGACCAGGTTTTCCTACAGAAAATTTTGGAAATATGACCCACCCATCTTTCCCAGAATGGATTGAATGTCTTTAGGCAAAGGACTGTATTTTACCTCTCACACCTAAAATGTTATGACTGTGATGTTTTTAGAACAGCACACATTTGAAAATCCTATTATACATTCACTGGAAGCCCTCTCGTGACTCAGTAGGGTGCCCTTGGAGACTTGCCAAGGGATGGTAATTCAGCAATTTTTAATTTCAGTTTTCCCATCTGGTGGATGGGGTGTGGCCATGTACTTCTTGAAGCTTAGACCTGGGCAGCAGTGTATTCACCAAACATGATGTGAATTCATTATTTATAGCCCACTGTCAGCTCAGCCAGATGGCTCCTGAGTCCAGTGTTATGTCTGGCCTGCCCACCATTTAATATCTAGTTTTCCTTTTATGTCAGAATCTAAGACTAAATTATCAAATATACTTTTTTTGGATCAGCTGTACTTATTCCCTAATTACAATTCTAAATTCCTTGCCCTGCCCTTTACGGTATCTTGGTGTTTGTTTAACTGTTTTCCCTTTGTTTACTTTCACTTGGCTTTTTACTTGAAATTAAACCTATTATTTTGAGATGACCGTGCCATTGTAAGAAACAGTACCTTTCCCCCAGCTCCCCACAATGGTGATGTTTTTCATAGGCTACAGCACCATATCTAAACCAAGAAATCGGGTTTCATGCCTTTCATCTATTCTGGTAGGCACTAGGGATTTTTAAATTCAGAGTTGAGGAATCATAATAGCATTATCACATTTTTCAGATTTCTAATCAGATTAGTCAGGTAGCAGATAAGGGTCCAAACTTCTCTGGAGAAAAGACTTCCTAAGGCCTCCAGCTCTGTAACCTATAACACAGGATCAGAGGCTGAGCAACTCAGTTTATAACGCATAATGATATGTCTTTATTTCATCAACAGAAATGGTGTCTAGACAAAATTCAGTTAACACTAGCAATTCAATTGAGTGAAAAAATTTTTTTTGCACAATAGTGTATTTACATTGAGTAAATGAAGTTTCAATTCATTAGTTCATAGCAATGCCTTTTTTCCCCAAAAAGGTAAAAATTCTTAGTTACAGAGAATAAGCATCAACAGCCATTTCATCTTTACAATAAAAACCACAAGAGAAACCACAATCACTTAGAAAAAAAAGACAAGCCTAAGAACTAGTACAATAAAATGATGCATTGAATTAAGTTACATTAATCGCATAGAATTTGTGTAAAAAGTATGTAGAAAAACACCTGATGTAACCTGTTACAGTCGTTGACCAGTTATGAGAGGTACAGAGGGTTATACAGGTAGATATGTGTGAAAACTGTCCGTATTGTTCGACCTGGGGAAAAAGAGAAGAGGGGCTGCAGCCCCTTGCATACACTGAGAAGACCCTGTTTTGAATATGGCCTCTGGAGTTTGTAAGGCATATATTAGAGGTGCACTTGCATCAGACTGGTTCTGGAACAAATTCTCAGAGGCCTATTTGGCCTCACAAGCAAAGGTGGTGCTTGCCTCGAATGGCTTACTGTGTCTTAACCAGCACCCGAAGCCCCCGAATGCATCTGGAATCTTCCTGATCACTCACTAGATGTGGCAGGTCCTTTATGTCAGAGGGTGAATGGGCACCCCAGCATTCACACATGCTAAATGCATCATTAGGACTCAAGCAGAGGTCACCTCTCCGCCTCCAGACATGTTTTGGTAGAAGACTTAGCATCAATCTGTACAAAAAGCTTTCTCTGTCCAAGGCCCTTCATTCCTTCCTGATACATGTCTGATCACCCTCATGGGAGCATTTGGCACTGAATGTGAGTGCCTGAAATGAATGGTCTTGGTGCACTTCTGCTTCTAAGGAGGGCCACTGTTTTATCTGAGGTCAATAAACTGGAATGGAAATGAAAGTCCGAGTTTAGCTGCTGCTTAATAGTGAAATGCGTACACCACACCATAACATTAAATAAAGCTACAAAGTGGGCCTCTGCAACCAAGTGGATATTCTTCACAAATGGCAGCATCATTTTCATATTACAATTAAAATACACTGATATTCATTTGATATAAATACTATCTCCCAGGGTGGAGTGTAGGAAAATACTATACACTTACTTTTCTTTGCAAGAAATGTTTCTGCACTGTCAGTTGAATAAGTTATCCCAAGTCTGCCACAATAGAGTCTTTTCCATGTACAAATAATATTTGCACACACTATTTGTGTACAAATATATTCTATTCTGCAGCATCAGTCTTTGATGCTTGGGTCGTGAGATGGCTCGGGCAGCATTAAAAACATACAGCGTGAACACAGAATGCCTCCATGCACACAGACTTCCTGCACATATACCGACTCCACACAGGGCATTGCACTGTGGACCGACTTGCCAAAAAACTGAACCTACGACAAAATCCTCAATTCTGGGAAGAAACACTAACATGATCCAGTGAACAACTTTATTCTTTAAAAAAAAAAAAAAGTTCCCTACTCTATTAACAGTGATTTGAGGACAAAACTTGATTCTTGCTCCCTTCTAGATGTGACTCTTCCAGAACTGTAAGCAATAATGCAGCAGCTTAAAGTCATTTATTAAGGGTATAATGTATCGACTAGGTGGCCAAAAAAAGGGCTTTGAAAGAGCTTTGCAGGCTTTTCTTCATGAGTAAAAGTCCAAGTTTATTGTGCCCATGTGACTTTTAGCAGTTCTCTCATGCAAGTCCTCTAGCTGCTCTCTGCCCTTCTTCTGAAGAAGTGGCAGTTGGCATACTAATCACTAGCCTGTTTTCTTTTTTTTTTTTTTTACTTCCTTAGGAAAGCAATACAAGGATTAAATCCAAAATCATAGTCATCTTAAAAGCAGCATACCTTTAGAAAGACACTTAATAAATTACTTGTACAATAAACAAAATAACATTTTCTACTGCAGCATCACCTCTGACGCCTGAGTCATTGTTAGGGAACCAGGAAGGGAAGTAGCAGGACAGCCTAGTAACTTTGCCAGCTCTTTTTCTTTTCCCCAACTGTTTTGTTCCAGAATCAGTAAGTAATGAAGTTCGATTATTCAAGGCACCCCCAGATAACGCAGAGAAACAAACACATACACCAAAGCACTCACCTGCCCAAAGCCTGAACAACCTGAATGAAGTGAGGTCGTCTGGAGACACAAGTAGAACAAAAGTAGGTCCAAGGGGAGGACTAGGTTCAGGCGGATGTTAAGTAGGGCCACCAACGCTGTCCCTGCCCCGACAAGCCATGTCTGCCCCAGATATTTAGAAACCCAACTTGGCCATTGCTAGGATCCTCCTAAACAGTCTATGGCTGGAAGGTCTTTTATTTTTGTAAGGAAGACCCCCAAATATCACAACTAAATTTCACCATGCTGTGCAAACTATTCGTTGCTATTAACTTGCTTTTCCTTTTCATAAAAGACAGGGCTTCACTAAGGGATCCCAGGGATCCCTTTAAAAACCAGACAGGCTGGTTTTTAAAATTCCACTCGTGGCAATTTGGAGTCTGGTCCCCTGCTAGTCCTCCCTTTGAATCAACCCAGAAATAATTTTCACAAACACATGGTTTAGAGTGGTAACAGACACAGACATGTCACACTGTACAAAGCCAGTTGCTGTTCACGGTGGATAGTGAACAAAGTTTCAACAACTTGTTAAAAATCTCTAAGACATCAAAAGACAGTTTTTCAAGCAGTGTTTTTAACCGGTTCCCATGGCAGGGGTTGGGTTAATAAAGGAGGAAGGGAATAAAAGTGAGGTGGGGGTTGGCAGGAGGAGGATGTGGGCTGAGTTAGGGTGGAGAGAAAGAGACCCCCTCCCCGCCCAGAAATGGGGATGGACGGAATGTGGCCAAGACTGCCAGTTGCACATGAGTTGTTACCAGGGTAAATCATGCCAAGTTGTTGTGGGCCTGGTTATGATAACATTCCTTTTTTTTTTTTTTTTTTTAAAGAAGAGGAGGTCACTTAAAAAAGGCAACAAGAGAGTTAAAAAACAAAATACTGTTGGCTGACTCCACCATAACACATACCTGTGATGGATCACGTGAGTCACATTGAGCTTAAATTCGAGCTATCACCAGTTTTCCACAAAGGCAAACCTCACGGTGAAGCACAGAACTGGTCTTCTAGGCCAAGAAGTTCCAACCGTAATAAGAACGGTAGCTCCAACACAGAGCTCTATCAAAAAATCTGTCTCAAGACAAGCACACACACATACACACACATGAGAAAAAACTGAAAACCCAGAGGCAGGTTTTAAAAGTGGAACTAGTTTAAAAGAAAAGCCTTTTTTTTTCTTTTTAACCCTACCGCATGAACCAACAAATTTCTGGCATTCATACATATTTAAACATTTAGCGCTAATATTTGTACAGAAAAAAGTTAATAATACTAAAACATATGTTACTATGATTTCACTTTTCGCCTACATCATGTACTAATTCCCCCTTTTACATGCAGCTTTAATATTGTCCAAACAATGGCACAAATAAAGAAACAAAGTCAACCATCTAGTCCCCACTGCCCACCACCCCATCCCCACATCAAACCCTTAGGGACTCTTCCCACAGCCAGGCTGGAGGGCCCGCTGGAGGGAGTGAGGGAGCTGATTCCTCCTCCTCTGAGGCTGGCTGTGGGATCTCCGCACACCTTCTTGTAAACATGGCCAGGGGTCAACAGGCCCCCAGAGCCAAGGGAAGCTGCTCTCTGTGGGTTACAAGCCAATCAGTTTTGCAGCAAAAGAAAATTATCAACAGGTGAGGGTAGGTGTGCGTGTGTGTGTGTGTGGTGGGGGCGGGGGCAGGGAAGGCTCCTGGCCATGTCATGTCCAAAGCCTCAAAATGAAATCTGCGTTCAGACAAGAAACTGGCTGGCAGAAAGCCTCAGAATTCAACTCAAAGAATTTGGAGAAGGAAGGGAGAAAGAAATGCTCTCGCCTGCGTCAGGGACAGACCTCAGGCTCACATCTGCCCTGCTCTCTCCGACTGGGTGAGTTGCATTAAACCCAGGACCGCCAGTTACAGGCAGGAGCCCGGGGCTCGGGTTCAGGTCTCCTCAGGTGAGATCTCCTGAGAGGCCTGTCCTGGGCAGGGAAGTTGGGGTGGCTGGTCAGCCAAATCCTTCGAAGGAGAAGGTCTTAACTGCACTACACGTCCAGGAGCAAGTGAGGCCTGATGAAGTGTGGAAATGAATCGGACTTACCCCTGGGTGAGAAAGCAGTTCTAACTTGATTTCTAGGAGCCAATGCCTGCTGAGTTCTGGTATAAAGTCATGGATTCCTACTGTTTTGATGCACTTTCGAGTGAGATGCCCAAACTCTCTCCCCACTTAGGAATCTGAACATTCACCATCAACTCTGAACTCTCTATCTGCATTTCAGCTTTGCTTAGGGAAAGGTGGGGAGGAGGTGAAATATAAAAATATTCAAGCAGATTATTGTCATCCTAGGATGAATTCGTTATTTGGCAAGATTGTTTGTCCTACATAATTATCACCTGAGTGGTTTTTAATTAGCTAAAATGTTTTACTTTTTAACTAAAAGCAAAGAATATACAGTATACTTGAGTTACACTGAAGTTACAACTTCATTTAAGAAAATAGGTTTGACCCAAAACTCAGTGCAAGTGGCAAAGTTGACCATTTCTGTACAGTATCTGCAAGAAACAAACAAACAAACCCACAATACGCAAATGACACCATCCGACGGTGCCAAAACCAAACCAAACAAAAAAAGGTCTTCCAAAATAAAACCTTAAAAAAAGCTTCCAACATTGAATTTTGTCCATAAATAAGTACGAATTGAAGTTGAACTGTGAAGCAAGAAAAATGACCATGTTAACAGTTCTCAAACTAGCTCTAACATCAGAGACAAAAGAAGAGGAATGTTGGAACCTGTTTGTAAATGAGAAATGAAGTTTCCAGTTTTAGAATGAGAAAACCGAGGCATGCAGGACTTTTGCATATGGAGATATATATATTTTATATATATATATTATATATAGTATGTACAGTCTAGCTATAAAACTTTGATGTGTATAGAAGCTGTCTTCAATGAAAAAAATTGAACATTCAGAAGAAATTCCTGAGATAGGGTTTGTGACATGGGCCACTGAGAAAAAAATCCGTGGTTGGGTCCTAGAGGTGTTATAGTCTATCCCTGTTAAGATTGAAATTAACCCACAGACAAACAGTGTCACCACTGCTGTCTTTCCTTGCCAGGGCAAGGGGTAGCACCATTGCGAAGGTAACTATAGATCACTCCTGCTTGAAGAGCGGAGGGAATACTTAGAAACAGTATTGCTGCTAAGACCTCTGTAGTGTGCACCAAATTCCTTCTCGGTTCTTCCAGACAACAGACGGACTGCGCCACGGGCCGACCGAAGAACACCTGGGTGGGAGAGGTGTGAGGACTGGGAGGCAGGCCGAGTCACTAGGTGTAGTCTTTCCTGGGCTGTTCGTCAGTCGTGCACTTATCAGTCATTTCCTGGCAGAAGTCCACCGTCACCGTTTGGCTCCTGGGTTCAAGAGGAGGCCCTCTATCTGAGAAGTTTCCTGGGTCAGTGCCTTCCAGCCTCCTAGCGGAAGTACAATTCTCTGAGGTGTTGCTGGGGGTCCAGGGGGGCCCGGGTGGAGCTGCACCCTGCTCCAAGCAGCAGGGCACATTTTCCCCCACTGCACACTGCGGGGCGGCAAGGTTCTGCTCGACGCCTAAGGGCGCAGGGTTAATACTGGAGGCTGTGGGGAGACCCATGGGTCTGAGGACAGGGCAGTACCGATGCAGGGCCTGGATCTGCTCTGGGCTCTGGATGTCTCGACAGACTTCCTGGGAAAGGCAGGAGAAGTTGTCCAGCAGTTCCCCCATGCACGCTTTCAGCTGATTCCTCTCTGACAACAGCTTCTCTTTCTCACATACCTAGACATCAGAGAAACAAGAGAAGGCCTGATCAAGGCTGAACGGGAGGACCCAAGCCCTTGTTTCTGGGGCTTTTCCAACTTTTGTTTTTGCATACTACATTATAGTCAGGAATGACTAGGCCAAGATCTAGAAACTTAAAAAATGTATATCCAAGGAGCCTGGACACATACTTTGGCCAAGTCTCCTGTCTGAGCAGCCCGTCCGGATGTGCCACGGACCCCGACGCTTTCCCTGTAGCAGCTCTGCTGCCCTCTCAGTGGCCTGGCCGGGCGAACGGCAGAACCACCACCAACCAGAAAACTGCAGGGAGTCAAGGGCCCAGTTTCTTAGAACTTGGGGTTTGCAGAGAACCAACTGGACAACTTTCGGTCCCAAACCCTATAGCTGAAAATCTCCTCCGAAGTATTAGATTGACATTTTAGAAGGTCAAAAACGATTGACCAATTCCGGTTACATGACAGTCTGGAAAAAGGCGAAACTATGGAGAGAGTAAAAAGATCAGTGATTGCCGGGGATCTGTTGTGGGGAGAAGGGGGAGGGATGAAAAGGTGAAGCACAGAGGATTTTCAGGCAGTGAACTCCTCTGTGATACCGTCACGGTGGATACACGTCATTCACGCATTTGTCCAAACCTACAGAGTGTACGACACCAAGAGTGAGCCCTAATGTAAACTGTGAACTTTGGGCGATTATGATGTGTTAATATAGGTTCACTAATGATAACAAATGCTACTCTCCCCCCGCCCCCCCGGTGGGGGATGTTGATAACGGAGGGGGGTTGGGAGTGTGCAGGGGCAGGGAGTGTATGGGAACTCTGTATTTTCCATTCAATTTTGCTGTGAACTTAAAACTTCTCTTAAAAAGTCTATTTTAAAAAACAATGAAAATTAAAAAAATATTTGACCATTGGCAGTTTCATGTGACTCAATCCAACATTGGTAGGCTCTCAGGTGGGGACTATGCAGTGAGGCCCAAGCACCAACTCTCCGTGGACACTGCAAGGACAGACAGAGGTGTGGAGACCAAGCCCTAGCATGCCAGCCCAAGGTTCTGAGATGTTTTCCTTAAAGAAAATTCCACATAAGCTCTTGTGTTACTAAAATCCATCACTGCCTCAGAAAGGTGAATTTAGCCACCAGCAGGGAGTCTGATTAAGGTTTTACTATAACTGGATGTGGTTCCATAGTGTAGCGTTTAGCACGTCTGCTTTACACGCAGCAGGTCCTGGGTTCACGCCCCAGTGGAGCCATGGTCCATGGTCTATGGCCATGCCACCCTGAACAAGCCCGATGTCTGATCCTGGAAGCAAAGCAGGGTTGGGCCTGGTTAGTACTTGGATGGGAGACCACCTAGGAAGACCAGGTGCTGTAGGCATAAATAATAGAAATAAAAATATAATGAAGATTTTACTATAACTATTTGTGCGAGGAGAGAAGATGAGGAGGCTCCAAGAGGCACACAGTGAAATAGATGAAGAAATTGCAGATCTGAAGCAGAGTGAAATGAGTCCTCGCCAACATTTTGCCAGGGTGGGCAGGAGGGGAGAGGAGAGGATAGAAGAGAAAATGAGGAGGGGAGAGAGAGAGGCGGGGTGGGGGGAAGGGAGAAGAGAGAGAGAGAGAGAGAGAGAGAGAGAGAGAGAGAGAGAGAAGCAAACGTTCGACATGGGGTCTCTTACATGAGAGCTACATGTGCCGTAACATAAATGCAATCTGGCAGGCAGCGTGGGCGTGTGTGTCAGAGACAGAGATTTACGCGGGGAAAGGGCACCTGCTAAAATATTTATAAATTTTTCAAGAAAACATGTTTTAAAAATGAAAAATAAACAGATGTACAAGTGCAACTCGAGAGAAATACATTATGCAAGTTTTGCAAAAGCTGAGTGGCGTGCTGGAGACAGCGTGGGAGTGGGGAGTGAGTGTGTGCTTGCCTGGGACTTGCAGGGCGAGATCAGCCTGCCCCGGCCTGCCAGAGTCATGCCTGCCACTCATATCAGGTGAGTGGGTGCAGCATCCCAGCTAGAGGGTGGTGGATAAGAAACAAAACACATTCGGGCCGTGGGAACTGGACCTCCTTCGCTATAACCTGGAAGTCTGAAAGGTAAGAGGCAAACCGCCCAGCCCCAGGAGGAGAATCTCAGTCTTCATTCTGCCACATCATCTTGGCTGAGCCACCAAACTCCTCTACACCTATTAATCTGCAAAATGTCCCGGGCCACTTTCTAGGGGGAAGAAAATGAAATGCTGTGTGTGACAGTGTTTCAGCTCACTGCAGGAAAGGCAGCACAAATCAAGACCTTCGTTAAAAGTATGAAGCTCTAAGTCACAGATGTCCATGTGAAACTCATTCAGCGGTGAAACGCAATATATTCTTGAAGGGGTTTCCAAAAAAGTAGGGGGAGAACTAGGAGATGCCCTCTTGGTTTCCCAACTGAACAACATTAGCAAAGTGCTTTAGATATCTGCCTAGTGCGTGGCTTAGATTTTACTATTTGTTTCGTATCACAAAATTACATGAAGAAGAATGCTAATTACCCAAATCAGGCACTTCTCAAATATGAGTGATTAGAGTTATTCTGCTACCCGAAGAGGAGTAGAGGGCTGAGATTCCCGCAGACGCGTGCCTACGGCCTTGATGATGTTCACTGGTGGGCTCAGCCTGGCCTGGTTTCCTACCTAAGCTCAGGAGATTTTCAGAAGACCCACACTCACCGGCAGCAATGTCGTGCTTCCTCATGCAGTTTAAATTTAAACATTTTTGATGTTAAAATGTGAAAGAAAAATTTGAAAGAAAGAAGGAATTCATAATCCCACGACCCAGTCACAATTTCCAATAAATTTTAGGGCAACAGACATGTCCCGTGAGGCTTTAGTGGGTCTGCACTGGAGATTCAGAGGTGACCGAGACATTGTCCTTGTTGTGAGGAACCTGCACGCGAGGGCCAGGAGCTGGGGAGACAGACACGGACACAGACACTGCAAGACTAATGTGATATGCATGAAGACAGAGGTCAGATCAGGGTTCCAGGGGTGGGTGTCCAGCCTCACTAGGGACTCAAGAAAGGACCTTCCCAAAGAGGTGATAGTAACCTGACTCTTAACGAACAAAGGATGTAGTTAGAGAAGGAAATGGTCAAGGAATGTCCAAGGTAGAGGGGAGACAGCTGAAGGAGGCACAAGCCCAGAGGTATAAATGGCAGGAGATGGGCAGGGGTGGGGAGGAGGGAGGGAAGTGCAGACAGTTCGATGTTATTAGTTCTCAGAAGGGAGTGGAAGGTGATGCTGGAGGGTAGCTACAGACTGAATCATGGAGAGCACAGTATGTTTTGCTAAGGAGCTCAGGTTTTATTTTTAGGTGATGGAGCCACTGAACATGAGCAGATCTTCCCTGCTTGGTGGGTGTTAATTAAATTAAACTTGAAAAACACCCTGAGGTCCAGAACTATCTTGATTACACATAATATTTACTCATGCTTTTCAAACGTCTTATCCTGCTCCTAGGTTCTCATCAGGACAGTGGTTTGCCAGGAAGCAAAGGATTCCTGCATGTAGTCTGAGGACCCAAACTTTGATCATAACTACTTTATGTGATCTTCTTCTTCCCTGACACGGACATGGCACCTGAGCTGAGTTTCCAGCACCTGGCCAGCAGAAAGGTCAAGCTGGATGAGGTTGCACCAGGTGCCTTCAAAGCTACAGTAAGGAACCAGAGGCTTTACCTGGATTTACTTCTTGTCGCTTAGCAAGGAGAAGGGGGCTCAGAGCTCTGAGTGAGGGAAAGCTTGGGAGATGGGAGCTTATTCCTTGAGACGAAATCACTCTCGGGCATAGGGAAGGGGTGACAGTCACTTTGAGGCAGAACTGCAAAATCAAGGACCCTGGGCTGTGAAGGGCTTTCAGAGACCATGGAGATGAACAGCCGCCTCACAGCAGGCAGGAGTCCTATCGCTCACCTACACTCTTCCATGGGAGGCAGGAGAGAGCAGTGGTAAAAACAAAGGATTTGGAATCAGACAACTGGGTTTACAGTCAAGCTCCCCACATAGCGGGGACTTACTTAACTCCTCTGCACTCTACTTTCTGCTCTGTAAATGGAGATAAAATGGTGCCTAAGTCACAGGATTGATGTGAGGATTACATGTGATCATCTACAAAAATAGTATAGAATAATACCTGGTCTACATATGCATGCAATAAATGTTAGCCATTAGTACACGTCAAATGGAAAATAAAAAAGAACGACTTTTATACATATAGCTGAGGATGGGAGACCACCGACACGTGATTACACATCGACACGTGATTACACATCTACACAGACACACTGCAGAAATAAAGCTATTCTTCTTCTTGAGAAACTTGTTCAAAAGCAAACCCAAACTTCCCTGAATGGTGATCCTTCTTTCTACTCCTCCAGCCTTCACTACTGTAACTTTGCCTCGGTCTTGGTCACTCCTGGTTGCCAACCGCAACGGACGGACGGGTCGACTCACCAGTTTGCGGATTTCACATTCTAAATTCTGAATACAGTCCAGCTTCCTTTTGCGGCAGCGCTGGGCTGCGATGCGGTTCTTGCTGCGCCGTCGGACGTCGTGGATATACTCCAACTGTTCTGAGGTTAGCTTGTGCATCTTAATCATCATCTGGAAATCGTTCCTCGGAAGGTCTGTGATTTGATCTACAGGAAAGGGAAGTTTGACCTGAAACCAAGAATAATAGATGATGATTATGGTAGCTGGATTTCAGTTTTGATTTTGGCAGGTAAAACATCAAAAAATGGTAAAATCTCCATTTTTTAAGATGACCAAATAATACGGATACTACTGAAAGCAAGCTATAATTCTTTCCTGTTTCAAGTATAAATAAGATGCAATATTCAGATAATCAAACAGAACGCGAACACACAAATTATACTGTGGTTATCATTCTTTAGATTTTTGAAGCAAGCAGCGTAGACATTACTGGAAATTGTACACTTTTTCATTGCTACAGCACTTTTATAAGACGGGCTCTCTGGTTAGTTAAAATCTACTTCCACTGAACCTCAACTCAATAAGATACTATTTTACAGACAGATATTATCTGAGGAAGTATCTACAACACTTGGATGAAGAGAGCACCGTACACCTGGAAGATGCTGGGAAGACAGAACGATCGGCATAATTCTTAATGGCCACAGCACAGGGAGACACAGCGAGATGACTTGGACAGGCTATACTAGCATGGGCGAGGAGTGAGACCTGGGCTTTTGTCCTTCCTATCATGGGACATGAGACTTCAGGTTAGTTACTTTACTTCTCTCGATTTCTTCATCTGTAGAACGGGGCGTGACTTTTAGCTGCGCAGTGCTCCATAAGTGTTAGGTACTTTGGCAGATTGTATTCTCCAAAAATACAATGGCCGTACTGTTTCACATTTTCTTTCACATGATGCTTACCTTCCTCTACCAAGAGGTGAGATGCGTGTTCCTATCTCTTGACCAATACAGTGCAGTGGGAGTTATGGTGTGTGATGTCAGAGTCTAGGTCATCAGAGGTGTTACGGCTTCCTCTTAGACCTCTTAGATTGCTCTTTCTTGAGGAAGCCAGCTGCCATGCCTCGAGGGCACTCACGCAGCCTGGTGGAGAGGCCCTTGCAGAGAAGAACTGCGGCCTCCAGCCACCAACCAGAATCACCTTGCTAATCATGTGAATGAGCCAACCTGGATGTGGATTTTCCAAGCACAAAACTTCAGACGACTGAAGCTTCAACCAGCATCTGACTGCAACTTCATGAAATATTCTGAGCCAGACGTGCTCGATGGGCTACTCCTGAATTCCTGACCCACGAAACGGTGGGAGACGTTGAATAATTATTCTTGATTTAGGCCACGACGTTTGGGAGTGATTTGTTATGCAGCGATACATAACTGACGCAGATACAGCAGATACGATTATCAGCAAGATTCCTATTTCAAACTCTTGACAAATCAAGGCACATCAGCATTATCCAAAGAGGAAACTAGTTTATTGAGGGATGGATCTGTGTTCTCCTTGTAGTCTGTGAAGTGCTTGCTTACAACCCTGCGGTGGTTTAAAATATTTCTTAAGAAAAGGACCACTCTTCCCTAGGACCTCCTCAGCACCCATTAGGTGGGGAAAGGCCTGCGCCTTTCAGCAGTTTGCCACTACCCTCTCCAAGACATTTACTCATGATGCAGAGACTTCAGAGTTCAGTCCTGGTTCTGTTTCAGAAGCTCCTGAAAAAGGAAGGTTTACTGTTGCTTGGCCAAGAGACAAAGTGTTTCCTAGCTCAGAGTGCTTCATTCTTGCTTACGTTAGCGTCTGCCCGAGACCGACCAGCAGATGGCACTGTAAACCCACTCTTCCTGCAAGCACCAGCCCAGTGCTGTCCAATGCAAACAACGCGAGCCACATTTGTGATTCTACGTTTTCTAGTAACCGCTGATGAAAAGAATGAAGTGAAGACAGATAAAATTAATTTCGATAATATATTTAATTGAACCCAATAGATCCAAAATATTTTCAACATGTAAGTAACATAAAAGTTATTGAGATATTTTACTTTTTGGTACTAAATTTTCAAAATCGGAGGCATATTTTACACTCATTACACAGCACAATTCACACAGCCACAATTCTAAGGCTCAACAGCCATGTGTGGTGTGTGGCTGCTGTACTGGACAGCACAGCTCTAGAAGACTGAACAAATGGACTCGAGTGAACTAGAGGGGCCAGAAAAATAGAAGAGTGGGTTTAGATGTAATTAATTATAATACTTTTGGGTGAAGAAACAAGCCTCTGTTAACATTCTGAAGCTGCAGTATTGTCCAGGGGAGGGAGATGAAGATATTTTATCCTGAGCTCAGGCTTTTTCTTTGGTTGCATCAGATGCGTGCAGTCCAGATCCTGGCATTTGTGACTAGTTAATCCCCATACACAAAGGCAATCACACTAAACGATCCTTTGGCTTTTCTATGGCTGGGTGCGATTGCTTTGTCAGGTTGCTTCATAGTTCTGAGACTGCTGGATGTGGCATTTGGTTCCCAATGGGTGCTCTGATTCAGCTTTCACATGGTGAACTCTGTCCCATGACACCTGTAAAACGTTGGCCCAAGAGAACAAAATCACAGCGACACACATTACACCACTCTCAGCTCAGCCCTGCTCTGACTGCTAAAGACGGGCAGCCAGGACAAACAGTTCCCTGTTATGGGCCCAGGAAAGGGCTTTGTTCATGGGGCTGTGTTTGCACAGGGCTTATAATAATATGAAAGAATGTTTGATTTTCCTGTTATAACCTTTGGATAACAGACAGTCAGTTCCTGGATGGTGCCTAAATAACACAGAGGTCTGTCTGTTGGGGACACGGATGTTTCCACACCAGGCAGAAGCCTTGTTTTCACAGCAGAGGTTGCGGCACTTCTGGGCCTTGTGGAGTCTCCCCTTCTGCTGACAACAAAGCAATTCTGCGTCTGCTCTTAATTACGTTTACTTATTTTCAGAAAGAATATATACCCATGGTTCAGGCCACAGGGAAAGTCGAAAGGCCTTCTATACGAAAGCTTACTATATTTAATAGTGTTCAGACAGTGAATGTAAAACACTAGGGAAATAGGACAGAAGCTGACAAGAAAGAAGAAAAATCAACAATGCTAGTTTCAAAGTCCTTCAAGCAAACGGCCATATAAAATTTCAGCAGAGCTGTTGCAACTCCAGCTGCTTTTTAAAGAGGTCAAAGGAAAAAATAATAGTCAGCTACAGACTTTCTTCCATGTGAAAAAAACACCCCCCAAACCAAAACACAACCTCTCTTGTTTCTTTTGAGAAAGCTCTGTTGCCCCCAGCAGGGAGAACTTCCACTGGCTACCAAGAGGGAAGTCCCAGAAGTGTTTTTGGAAAGGCACAGTGGTTAACTTCACCACAGCTGTTTGTTATTTTTAGAGGAGTAAGCTGGGCGTCATCCCTGGAGATAAAGAGCAGACACATACTCCTTATGGAGCTGGGAGAAGATTGCATTCTTAGGCTTGCAGGTATCCCAACACTCTTCAAATGGGGCTCAAAAGTTAGTTAATGCCACTTGGCCTTGGAAAGTTGAAACACATCGAGAAGGCTGAGGCCCTTCTCCCTTCGTTTTGGTGAATTCTTAACAATTGAAATAGGCCCAATAAGGCTTCACATCTTATTTATTGTTCCTCCACACACTTATTCTTCCAGGATTCTACTTCTCAGCAGTGGTGTGGTTGATTTTCATTCACAAGACCCTCATAAACAGTACAAAACACCCAACCTGACAAGGTGAAGATCCTGCCAGCTACCAACACGACCTGGCTGAAGAGTCAGCCGGCAGCTATATTCAGCCCATCACAAGCATAGGAGGCTCAGCACTAAAGCTTAGCCGGCTGCATAGAGGGGACAGGGCCCGTGGGGTGAAGGCACAGGGCAGCTGCAAAGCGCTGCCGGGCTTTGGTTCTCAGTAGAAACTCTGAGAGTCAGGGGCAGCCACTGCATCAGCAAGCCCAGGGCCAAATGGCACCATGGCACCAGGAGCCAGCCAGTTCCACGACCTGCATAATCTGCTCCTGTCGATTCTACCCAGACTCAGCAGGTTGTTCACTCTTCTCTCAGCACAACAGCAAGAACAGGACGGAGGACGTTTTCAGCCTGGTACCTGCACTGGCTGGCTAAGCGGTGACTGAGAGAGGGTTAGACCCTCTACGGACCCCAGCTCTTGAGCAGTCAGTGAAATAAGTGGCCTTGCACTGTGCCTCGGGACCTCTGGCCCCAGAGGCTGGCAAACGGTGGGAGAATGTTGTGACATCTGGAGCGTGAATGAAACCTAAACATTCCTCCTTGAGAGCCCAGGATGCCAGCACCTTTTTCTTCCCAAACACAAATCAGCTACTCCACTTCTCTTTCCTGCCAACAACTATGCAGGTTCTGCAGCTAAAACACCCCTCTCCCAGTTAAGCGAAAATGTTTTAAAACTTATACGAGAAATATAACTTCTTGCAGAAAATTCAAATATGAGACAAAAGAGATGAAAAAGATGCCCCCCTCCTGCCCGCGCCCGCTTCCACCAATGACTCTCTTCATCTGGTGGACCTCCTGTGATCTGTTTCCTCTGAATATTTTCACTGGGTTATAATCAGACCAGTCACCTCGCACTGCTTCTTAACACATCTGGCTTGCCTGATGTTTCTGGCTGGCTGGCTGGAGGCTACTGGAGAAGCAGGATGGAGGTGCAAATGTTGCAGAAAAAGCCGAAAACAAGTTATCTATTTCCTCTAGCAATCCCAGCATAAGCTGGTGTCTGAATCTTCTTTCCTATCTCTTTTCTTGGTTCCACTACCAGATGTTGAGGAGAAGCCATGGGAGTTGAACCTACCAACAGTAGCCTGAGGCCCTAATGGTGCAGTCAGCTCTCCCAAGCCTCTAACACCTACACTCTTACAAGACCCTGGGATCTTTATGAGTTGTCAAGAGAGGAAGCAAAATGCCCAGAGGATGATGATTCCAGTGCTACTGGCATGGGGACCAGCTCAGTGCTGGGCAGACGCCAATGACAACATCTCCCCTCCCAGACTAAGAAATGTTTCCTTCACAACTGTCCTTTTACCCTTGATTCTTTCTCACGGTCCAGTTTCCGGAACAAATGCAGGACACCTGGGATTTAGTTGTGACACTGCAATTTATTAGCT